TAGCCAAAGGTCAGCATGCCCCTGCTGCATTATTATCTTGTTGAGACGCCCAACATGGGCAGAACAGAAGGTGAATAATCCATCACCAGGCTCTAGCATACTCCGTGCCTCTGCTCTCCCCGGCGGCACAACCCGCCCAGGCAGCTGCAAGCCACACTTTACTTAATCAGGTCCCGTCATCAGTCGGGCCGGCTCAGCCAGCTGCTGGTAGAAGCCGCCTGCACCCTCCACATGGAAAGATTAATGCCCCAGCATAGAGCCTGCAGCAAAGCAGCCAGCTGCGGCCCAGCTCCTTCCTACCACTGGAACCATCACATCCACTGCCAGCCACACAGCCTCTGTCACTGCCAAAGCCCTTTGCTCAGGAGGTCAGGACAGTGCCCAGACGGTGCCCAAGCATGGCCCACAACCTGCCAGGGGCCCAAGGGCTACACTGCATCTATCTATCCCCAGGAGGGGTTGAGGACCTGGCGTTGCTCTGAAAGGGGTGATACATATGAGGAAGACACAAGGCCATTGGGGTCTGAACCAGAGAAAGTTTGTGCCTTATCCAAGCAGAGAGGACACCATGCCTCTCTCAACACGGCACTTGCAACACTGTGCTGGGAATATGGCATTGAGGCCGAGCTCCGCTGTGCCAGGAAGACAGAGGCAAATTGGAGGGAACCAAGAAGAGCCACAAAATGATCAGGGGGCTGGAGGGAAAGGCAAAAGCACTAATGGCCCTTTGTAGTCACGGCTCCCCTGATGTCAGTGAGCATTGGGCCAGGCCCCAGATCTGCAGTACCTGGCCGAGCAAGCGCTAAGAGGAGCTGGGGGAGGAAACTGTTGGTGTGGAGTTGAAATTAAGGCCTGTTGACCTGAAACCTAATCCTCCAAACAGGAGCAGGTTCCCCACTAGGGCCAGGGCAGCTCTCCCAAGGGTGCATTCCCCAGGCATGGTTACATCCCGTCTGATCCTAACTGCTCAAGCAATGGGGCTCCCAGCCCCTCCACCCTCGCCCCTCCTGCTGCACTGTCAGGAAATTGGTCCCTGAGACTCAGCCTAAATTTTCCTTTTAATTCCCGCACAGCCACACCCCGTTGGGCTTTGCCCCCCTCAACTGCACATGCCTCTCCTAGCCTAGCACTCGAATTGGCTCCCTGGATGAGCTACTACCAGGAGGTCAGGCGCAATGACCTGCCAGGTGCCCTGCAGAAGGGAAGGGCAAACGAGTTTGTGTCCTTGCCCCTCAGCTTGTCTAAAATACCAGGCGACGGGGAGCCTCCCTCTCCTTGCTGAGGGGTGGGGCCGTCCCAAAGGTTCAACAGTGCGGGACTCGCCAGCCCCCCCCCCCCCCCCCCCACCTGGGGAAAGCTGCCACCACTGCGATGTCAGCATCCTGCTGCGAATCTCAGCAAGAAGGCAGGTTCCTAAGTGGGAACAGCAGTTTACGAAACAAGCCCGCTGGCAGGGCGGCTTTGCCAACTACCAATGAGCAGGAATGACACAACCCACACCCCTTTATGCAGCAGAGAAGCCCCCCTCTAAAGGGCCAGCTGCTGCCCTGACCCCAGGCAGCTGTGGTCAGACCAGCTTCCTGGGCCACAGCATCACATCAAGGTTCCTCCCCACCCTGGACTCTCAGCCACGTTTTCCCAGAGATCTCATTGGTTGGGTTGTTTGCAGAGGGTGCACACTGCTTAGTCCCCACCCCCAGGCAGCTGGCCTCACTTCTGACAGACTGGGGGTCCGTGTTCTGCACCCCAGTGCCCAGAGGCAGCTGGCCAGGAGGGGATGGGGTGAGCCCCATGCTTTCCCAGAAGGGGATAACGTGGGCCAGAGGGGCTGCAAAGTGGGGGCCATTTAGGCTGACGGGAAAGCCTCAACTGAGGGAAGCTCACCGGTGCAGGAACAGACGGGGCTTCTAGAAAGCCAGGGAGCTGGGAGCAGAAAGGAGGCTGCAGGGAGTCACTGGCAGTCACTCTCCCTGAGACAAGGGGGAGAAAGGGATTTGGACCCAAGAGGAAGGGTTTGTGTTGTCTAGCAACCCAGGAGATTGGGGTTTGGTTAGAAGGGTGGAGAACGCAAGGCTGGGATAGGCAAGGTAGGAAGCACTCCAGGGGAGAGGCAGGAAGGTTTGTGCTAGTACAGAGCTCTGCTGCTGGAGATAGGGTCTCTAGTAGGGTCCCAGTGTAGGGAGCTGGCCTGAGTTCCCCTGAGCGAGTGGCACAATCTAGGCTGTGAACTTGAAGACTGTCCAGAACCATTTGCTCTAGTCACAGAGGGCAGTGGGGTTAAGCACTGCTTGGGACAGTGTGGAAGATGTTGACAGTACTCTGGAAGGGAAGGAGCACTGTTACTTGGTCAAACGGCTAGGCCCCGAAGATGAGGCGCAGCAGCTCCCGAGGAGCAAGAGAAGGGCCACAGCGCAAGAGTGTGAGATGGCAGGCTGAGGAACCACAAGAAGAGGGCCTCAGGCTGGAAGAGCTAATGCTTAGACCACCCAGGAGGAGGTGCCCCCTGTGAGTAGAGGCCCCCCGTGACAGGAATCTTGACACTGGCTCCGCAAGAGACATATTTTGAATACAAGCCTTTTCCTGTCTTTCATTCAATGCATAGAGAGACTGTGCCCAGAGCCTGATCTCAGACAGCCCCTCCCAACTGCCCCAAGCCTCCTGCCTCCCACGCAGCACCAGGCTCTGGCAGAACTGGGAATGAGTGCAGACACACCGACTCCTGAGACCGAGTGGAGAGGAAGCACCCTGCAGCCTAGCCAGCTGAGCTGCACTGTGGATCTTCATCCCTGCACAGGCCTTCACCTTCTGCAGATGGGGCCCAATTCTGGGGATGTGGCATGCTTTCACCTCTCATTGGGACTTCAGGGTGAGTTGGGAGCACTCAGCATCCCACAGGATCAGGCCCTGGGAGACGCTCTCCATCAATGGCACTAGCACATTTACCATGCCCTGATGCTGCCCCCTTTTCTGTATTAGGGGACCCTGGTCTTTCTGTGTTGGTGGGTATACACCATACTTGTCATTGATTCTACCCTCCAGCCAATGACTCTGCGACAGAAATCCCAGCCCAGAATTACATGGCAGGATAATAACATTGATCCCAAAGACACTAAACCGCTATCAAACCCATGCCAACTCTGGGAATTTAATCAAGGGACGGCAGGCTTTCAGCATGGAGATTAATCTGGTCAGAATGGGCTACAGCTCCGCACAGCATCCCCCAGCTCCAGCTTCTCCTCTCCACTGCTCAGTTCTCAGGGGCCAGGATGCATGTGAGGCTGGGAGAGATGAAGATAACTTTCCTTCAGGTGTTAAATGGCTGCATATTGGGAAGAAGCAGCTGAAATCTTCCTGATCTCTGGTGGGGCAAAGGGAGCAGCTGGGCAGGATGCTTTGGGAAATGATGTGGGAGTGGTTGCTTTAGCAACAAATTATCTTTAATACAAACCAAATTTGCTTATACAGCATCACATATTTGGTGTGGCTGTCAGGCTGGCAAGAGATGCCCTGACATTCCCTGGAGGGTGATTCGTCTCTGTAGCCATAGATCAGGTGCAGTCCAGGCAGCGGCAGTGCCAGTTTTCCCCCACCTCCACCCAGTGCTGGAGTCCTAGAAAATAAGTGCCAAGCAGGGAGCAGAGGGGAAGTGGAGGGAGCTGGGAGGAAGATAAGGGCAGTGAGAGAGCTGAAGGATGCCCAGGGGAGCAGGGGATGACTTCCTGTGGAGCCCATCCTGTGCCCACCTCCCCCCTACCTGTGCCCAGCTCCCTGTGGGGGGCTCTGCTGCCCAGGCAATCCCACTACCCAGCTCCCCACATTGCCCAGCTCTAGCTCCGCCCAAGGCTCCTGGTAGCTCTGGGCCCCCACGCTCCCCTGTGCTGTCGACAAGCAGAGGCCAATGGCCCCTGGCATGGCATCCTGGCACCTTTCTCCACCACCAGGTTCCTGGTGAAGTCAGGAATGCCCTGTCGCTTTTATCCTCACTTTGTTTCTTTGGGAAGCGCACAGAGTCTGAGTGAGGCAAGGGATGAGAGCTCATGCTCCTTGCACACTCAGCACAGGCAGTGGCACACATAGGAAGAAGAGGCTCCAGTGTCTGGGGCCCAGTGGCCTCTCTGCTTCCACTTCCAACAAGGAAAACAGGTGTGATGTGGACAGTTGAACTGAGACACTCAGCTCATTTCATGCCAGCCAATCAGCCAGCAGGTGGGATGGAACCTGGGGATGGACTGAGATAAAGGACCTTCACCTGACTCCCATCCTCCCCCAGCCAGTCCCCCTCTCCCCCCACACACAAACACTCGGGGGTGATTTGGAACCTGTTCCATTTGCAGTGAACAGCTGCAGCTTGGCTTTCCCCTCCCCGGAGCCACTCAGCCCTCCCAGATTTGCCTTTTACTCCACACATGTTCCGCATCAGGAAAGTTGAGTAAAATGAGGGGAAGGGATTATCCGGGCTGCTGTTCCTGGTGCTGGCAGGGCTGCGGGTCTAAGACTGGGCCCAGGTTTCCCAGTCTTCAGCGCAGCCCTCCTAGCTAACGAGCAAGAGATTGTTGTAGTGGCAAATGAGAGGCCAAGCCAAGCCCATGTCCGCGTTCAGCACCATGGAGAACTGCCCGAGGCATGGCCCGGACTGACCCAGCCAGCCTGCGGGAAGGACCCGGGAGGAGGCAGAGGCGCCCCTGCATGGGGGGAAGAACACAGGACGGCAAGAAGCAGCCGGGGGCCCATGGGCCGCTCGCTCCTCCGTGCAGAGAGCCCTTTGCAGACCGTCACCCCAGCAGGTGTCAGCCCGGTGACCAGCAACAGGTCTGCAGCGAGCCAGGGACCCGCGCCCCCAGCGCCCGGCCCAGGGTGACGGGCTGGCGCTCTGCCTCTCCTCGGCACAGCGCAGGGGCACGGCTCTCTCTCTGCCCGGCCACGGCCCCCTCCCTTCCCCGGGCACGGCCCCTTGCCCGGCCGGCCCCCGCCCTGCCCGGGCACGGCCCCCCGGCTCTCACCGTCGCAGTTGACCAGGATGATGGCCAGCATGTAGTCCTTGCCCAGCATGGCCTCGGTGAGCCGGGCGCCCGGGGACGGGACGCGGCGAGCGGCGGCTGCAGGGCGAGCGGCGGGCTGGAGCGCGGGGAGGGGCTGGGCAGGGGAGGCGGAGCCGGGGGAGGGGGCTGGAGGGGAGGTGCACGGGGAGGGGCAGAGGGGAGGAGCAGTGGGTCCGTGGCGTGCCGGAGGCCCGGGGTCTTGGGGGGAGCCAGGCGAGAGGGGCTGGGGGGAATGTGGGGTGCGGGCCGAGGGGGCTCAAGTGCAGGGGCAGGCCGCGGCTGTGGCCAAGGAGCTGGCCAAAGGCGGCCACTCCGCGCAGTTTCCATCCAGGGCCACTGCAGTGGGGAGGCAGAGGCCTGGCAGGAGGGGCTGGGGCGCTGTCCGGCCCTCAGCGGAGCCCTGGCTCCGCCTTCCGGGAAGGGAGCAGTTGGCCAGCTCTGTTCAGCAGAGATCCGGGTCCAAGGGGATCCTAAGGGTCCCACTGGCTCCCACACCCACCACCCTAGTATCTGTAATGGGACCCGACGCCCCTTTCCCAGCAGGGCCAGGAAACCCGAGTGGTCTATGGAGACAATGTTGAGAGCAGCTTCTTTCTCCAGTGAAAAGAGAACAGGAGTACTTGTGGCACCTTAGAGACTAACAAATTTATTAGAGCATAAGCTTTCGTGGGCTACAACCCACAAAAGCTTATGCTCTAATAAATTTGTTAGTCTCTAAGTTGCCACAAGTACTCCTGTTCTTTTTCGGATACAGACTAACACGGCTGCTACTCTGAAACCTTTCTCCAGTGGGACCAGATTCAGCCACCCATCTGTGCCGTAGGGCATTTGGGAGAGGGGGTGGGGAGTAGCTTCCCACACAAAGCTGTAGGCGGAAGGATTATTGTGGGCAAACTGCTGTTGTCTCTAGCTTTCCCTGGTAGAAACACCTCCCCCAAGGAGCAGAACTCGCTCTACGGTGGTAGGTACAGGGATTGGGGTTCTTGGGAGAGGAACACTTGGTATTTAAATGAAATATAAAGGGTTCCACTCAGCCCCACTCAGACACAAGCTAAAGAGACAGCTCCTTCCTGTGCCCTGGGGGACAAAGTTCAAGGCTGGCTTTGACCATCACACAGTCCCTCCTCATTCAACACACTCCCCCCACTCTGCCTCACATTGAAGAGGGCTCCTGACCTTAGAAGGGCCTCTCTGTCTAGCTAACTCTAAGGAGTCGTCCCATTCCCAACCCCACTAAGAGGAAACATGGGCTTGTAGGTAAACCAGAGGGCAAGGAGTCAGGAGACCAGGGCTCTGTTCCAAGCAGTGCTGCCACCGACAATAAATCACTTCCTACTCTGTTTCCTTGGTTTACACATCTGTTGGGAGGCTTAATTGCTCAGTGCTGGTAAAGTGCTTGGAGATTCTCAGTTAGAAGGTGCTAGAGACAGGCAGAGGACTATTATTCAGCGTTTATGAAATGCCTGAGCTAGAGAGATGCCAATGGGATATTCTCCAGTGCTGTCTGGTGTTTCATACTGACCTTAGATTCCAAGGCCAGAAGGAACCATTGTGATCATCTAGTCTGACCTCCTGTGTAACACAGGCCAGAGAACTGTCCCCAAATAATTCCTAGAGCAGATCATTTAGAAAATCATCCAATCATGATTTGAAATTTGTCACTGATGGAGAATCCCCCATGACTCTTGGTAAATTGTTCCAATGGTTAATTACCCTCACTGTCAAAATTTTACACCTTATTTCCAGTCAGAATTTGTCTAGTTTCAACTTCCAGCCACATTCCAGCAGGGATAAATGAGGTTGCCTTGTCCTTATAAAGTTGAGGGTCTCAATGTGGTTCTCAAACATTTTATGAATTTGGCTTCCCAGAAGGAAACAGCATTAGCCCCATTTTACAGCTGGGCAAACTGAGGTTGAGAAGCACAGAACAAGGTCACACAGTCAGTCAGAAGCAAACTGTGAACAGAACCCAAAACTACTGACCCTCAGTGTCCTGCTTTAGCCATTGGATTACACTGCCTTTCTAATGTTATCTGAAGGTGCTGGAAACCCTTAGGATGGGATTATCAAAGGCATATTGCAGTGAGAGGTGCATTAAAATGGCCCCAGATTAGATTGGATATCAACTCAATTAACTGGTCAGTGTTAGTAAGGTGCTTAGAAGATCGGCCTGGGGGATATCTGTGAGCATGCTGGTAGCCATAAGCACATGGGATCACTATGTCCACTCTGCAGCTGTCAGTGTGCCTATGGTTTATCCTTGCATACTGGGCAGGTAGCCATGTTCATGTGAACAATCTGGTATCTGTGTGCATGGTGAGCCCAATATACACATGTAGTATTTCTGGGAATGTGTGATATAATTTTTACATGGCCTATGTGTGCGTGCCCAGTGGCTGTGTATTTGAAGTATTCATGTGGACACAGGCTATGTGAATGTGGGATACTGATGGGTTAGGGTGTGGGTGTGCCCGTGGAGTATTTGTGAGAACTTGAGGTGCCCGTGTGTGCGGGGGATATCTGTGAGAACCTAAAAAAAACAACGAGGAGTACTTGTGGCACCTTCTATAGACTTACAAATTTATTTGGGCATAAACTTTCGTGGGTTAAAACCCACTTCATCAGATGCATGGAGTGGAAAATACAGTAGGAAGATATATATAGCAGTACATGAAAAGATGGGAGTTGCCTTACCAAGTGGGGGGTCGAGAGAATTCAATTAAAGTGGGCTATTATCAACAGGATGAAAAATCACTTTTGTAGTGGTAATAAGGGTGACTCATTTCAAACAGTTAACAAGAAGGTGTGAGTAACAGTAGGGGCAAATTAGCATAGGGAAATTAGTTTCTTTTAGTTCTTGTAGTGACCCATCCACTACAAGAAGGTATGTTTTGCATGCACATGGTTGTGCGTGTGCAAATAGGGCACGTTCCATGTGCAGGTTGGTATCCAAATGCATGCAAATAAGGAAAGGGGGCATGTAGGGCATGTGAACATGGATTACCTATGTGTAGAACCCTGTGGTTTTTTGCAAATATGAAATTAGAAATAAAACAAAACATAATGTATGCAATGACAAACCCACCCGTAATGGCAGTGCCTGCGTGCTCTTCACCCCACATCGGACCCCCGCCCCCGACACGTGGGTAAAACAAACTAACACGGACTCCCCCCGTCCCCAAAGAAATGAGCTACAGTATTAGGCAGTCAGGAGACACAGGACTCTACAGGGCTCCGCCCACGTCCTGGGAGGGGACAGGCATGGAGGGGAATGATCCTGGCAGCAGGTGACGTAGCGGGTGCGGGTCAGTGACGTGAGGCGGAGCCCGTGACGAGACGGGTGCGAGAGACGTGCCGGCCGGAACCTCCCCACGCAGCCTCTGGTGCCTACGCGCCACCCGTCACGCTGCGGCTGGGGGGCGGGGTAGCGGCTCTGGTCTATGGTTTCCGGCTGGGACAGGAAGCGTTTCCGCCCTGTTTAAAGATGGCGACTACTTTGCCTTCGTTCCTTTCCCTTGAGCTGGCAGCGTCACGTGACGCATTGTGCCCAATACGCCTTTCCCGGCTGTCAATATGCATGATTAGGCTATATAGCGCCCGCACTGGGGATGCTGTGTGGAGTGCGCATGTGCGAATGGAGGGCCGGGCCTGAAGATGGCGGATGATAAGGTGAGAGGGGCGCTGGGAGGCTGGGCTGTACCGTGCCCGGCTCACAGCCTGGCCCGGCCCGGCCCGACTCGTAGGTAGGAGGCGGTGGTGCTGGTCCCGCCACCTGGGGGTCGGTGGGAGCCAAGGGCTCGCTGCTGTGACCCGGGCCCCGCCGCCTGCCCGGCCCCAGCCCCGACAGCTCTTCCCCCGCTGGGCCCGAGTTCTCCGGGGGGTGGAGAAAGCTGCCGGTGCCATAAAGCCTCCGGCTTGGAGAGCCCCGAGCCGCCACGTCCCCTGCCCCCGGCTCCGGCCGCGTGTCCGGCCTGGGCTGCGAACGGCGAGGGAGCATCAGGCCGAGGAACCGTTCCGGCAGCCGGCCCGTGCTGAGCGTGCTCGATGGCCGGGCTCCGCTGCCCCGGTGGCCGTAACAGCGAAGGCAATGCTCGGTAACTACGTATCTTTGCCCCCTAAGCGGTTACCTGAGCCTGCTGCGACCTGTAAATGGGCTAACTCCACTGTTGGGCTAGATACTCCCTAGCTTTCCGCTACCGCCTCGGTGCGGCGTTAACCGGTCTCCCTCCAGCTCTCCCAACCACGGAGCCTTGCTGGCGCTGCATTTTGTAATGCGCTTTCCGCAGAGTGACACGATTGCAGGGATTTCTGGTTTTACCGGTGGCCTGAGCTGTAGTGCATACACCCTATGAAGGTAGGTGACACAGATCAAGCCCTACCATCTTTTCTCAAAATTGTACAGCTGGAGGCTTGAAATTGAACATTTTTGTAGATTTCATTAGGCATATGATTGTAGAATGTCTGAAGTTGAAAATAATGGGCTTTTGACATTGGTTAAGCCCCTTCAGAATTGAAATGACTGAACTAAACTTCAGTAACCATGGGATATTTTTAGGCAGTCTTAATTCCCTTCTGTACAGGCCTGGGAAGACTTAGCTTCCTACCTTTAGTTTAAAAGATAGATCGGGGTCGGCAACCTCTGGCACACGGCTCCCGAGGGATGTGCTGGCTGCAGCTTCTCGCAGCCCCCATTGGCCTGGAGCGGCGAACTGCAGCCAGTGGGAGCTGTGATCGGCTGCACCTGCTGACGCGGCAGGTAAACAAACTGGCCTGGCCCCTGGCGAGCCGCGTGCCAGAGGTTGCTGACCCCTGAGATAGATCTACTTAAAATGTGACTTTGTCAACATTAGTGCAGTCTATTACATCAGTCTAGTCCAGGGATCGGCAACCTTTGGCACGGGGCTCGCCAGGGTAAGCCCCCGGCGGGCTGGGCCGGTTTGTTTACCTGCCACGTCTGCAAGTTCCGTTGATCGTGGCTCCCACTGGCCGCGGTTCGCTGCTCCAGGCCAATGGGGGTTGCGGGAAGCAGCGCGGGCCAAGGGATGTGCTGGCAGCCGCTTTCCACCACCCCCATTGGCCTGGAGCGGTGAACCACAGCCAGTGGGAACCGTGATCGGCCGAACCTACGGATGCGGCAGGTAAACAAATCGTCCTGGCCCGCCAGGGGGCTTACCCTGGCAAGCTGCGTGCCAAAGGCTGCCGATCCCTGGTCTAGTCACTTCCTGTTCCCTCTGCAGCATGGCCTAAACGCTGTGCCAGAATAGTAGTTCCCTGAACAAAAGGAATTTGACTCTTTGTCATGAAGTTACTGAATTGCATGTTTGCAAGTAGTATGCAACATTGAGTCTTTGTTTTAATTGTGTAGGACTCGCGGCCAAAGCTGAAGGATCTTGCTTTTTTGAAGTCTCAGTTGGAAAACTTACAGCAGCGAGTGGAAGATGAGGTGCAGGCTGGAGTGGGCCAGGTAAAGCTGAAGTTCTTTAACACTTTAGCCCTAGATTAATCTCCCAAGAAGTTGTGCTGTTCTGTGATCTTCCAGTAGAATGAATGTATCCTGTTCCACTCGGAGTGCACACTAGTTGTATCTCCAAGGAATGCTCGGTTTCACTTGCTTTTCTTGGCAAAATACTGAGGTTATATTTATTTCTTCTGTGGTGATAACATTACACAAACCTGGCAACAGTGATCTAGGGAAATCAGTGGAAGAAGATGACATGTTCCAACTAAGTTTTATGCGTTAGGGTACACTTTTGTCCAAGAGACTATTTCATCCCCTTCTCTCCTTTTTCTCTGCAGGATGGTTCTTTGCTGGCATCTCCATTTCTCAAAGGGTTTCTGGCAGGTTACATTGTAGCCAAACTCCGATCTTCTGCAGTCCTAGGATTTGTGTTTGGGACCTGCACTGGAATATATGCAGCTCAGGCCTATGCAGTTCCCAATGTTGAAAAGACAATCCGAGACTATGTCAGCTCGCTGAGGAAAGGACCAGACTAGAGGAGAATCCTTTGGACAACAATGCACTCCAGAAACAGCTCTTCTCATCTTAGACATCTTTGACACGATCTTAAGGGGCTCCCAGGACTGTAGCTACATATGTCATTCTGGCCCATTGTAAAACATGTGTAATACCAGATCAGTGTGAAACATCAGCAGGTCTGATTACAAAATATTATTAATCAGAATACCCTGAAGGTAGCAACTGCTGCTTTCAGCTGTCCAGTGCTTGCGAGCTTCAAAATCTGAATGTTGACAACTGCCTTTCTCACTGTAATTTCTTACCCTGCATTTCCCCTCAGTAGAGTGGAAGGGCGGCTGTGTCAGATCATCTCATATGCTATTATTGCACCCCTTCACATATCGATTGCCTTGCCCAGGAAATGTGCTTTGTCTGATTTCTAGGGAGACCTCAATTTCTTTCCCTGATGAAGAGCAAACATGTTCCTCTCCTTGCATTGAGCACATAATGAATAGTTCAGTGTCTTCCTAATTACTGTCTTTAAATATATGGCATTTGTTGTCTCTCTCTCTCCAAGGCAGTGACTTGATTTTTAGAAACACATCTACATCCTGGAATGATCTTGCCTCTACTGAGGCTCTGACCGTGAAAGGACCAGGTGCTACCCTTTACCCTTTGCTGGAATCCACTGCCTCATGGGAATAATTATTGCGAATGGTAGTGCTGCTGGCTCACTGCTCAGCTCTCCCACCAGGGGGCTCAAGAGAGTGCTGTGGGCACTGATGCTAGTCATGTCTGTTGCTATCTATGGCTCTCATGCACCCCTTCTGACTCTGTGTAAAGTGGATGGAAAGATCCCATTCAGCGCCTCATCAGTTGTGGTTCTTACTGAACTGACCAAGCTGGTGTTCTCCTTCATTTCCCTGCTGATCTGGGACCGGAGGCAGCTGGGAGTCTCCCTGTCATGGCGCCATGCTGCCCCCTTTGCCCTATCTGCGCTGCTCTATGCTGCCAACAATAACCTGGTGGTTCACATGCAGCTGTTCATGGATCCTAGCACCTACCAGGTCCTGAGTAACCTGAAGATTGGCAGTACTGCTCTCCTGTACAGCATGTTCCTGCACCAAAGACTCTCTCTGCACAAGTGGCTGGCCCTCTTCCTGCTAACAGCTGCTGGGGTGAGCTACACCTATGGAGGCCTCCAGGACCTACAGCACTCCTCCAGCTCCTCTGAGATGCAGCTACACGTCACCCTGATTGGCTTGCTGCTCATCTCCGTGTACTGCCTGATATCAGGCCTGTCTGCTGTCTATACCGAAGTCATCCTGAAAACCCAAGATCTGCCACTTACCCTCCAGAACCTGTTTCTTTACTTCTTTGGAGTCCTGCTGAACTTGACTGTCCATCTCTTGAGCAGCAATGGGGCTGGATTCCTGGATGGCTTTTCTTTCTGGGTGCTGGTAATCGTGGTCAGCCAGGCCCTGAATGGCTTGATAATGTCTGTGGTCATGAAGCACAGCAGTAACATCACCAGGCTCTTTGTTATCTCCTGCTCCATGCTTGTTAATGCCCTTCTATCCATACTGCTCTTCAGCCTGCAGCTCACTGCCTTTTTCTTCCTCGCTGTCCTGCTGATCGGCTTGGCTGTTCACTTGTATTATGGAGTCAAATAGACTCCACCTTGCAGCTCTGTGGGAGACATCTGGTTTTGAGGCTATAGCTGGCATGTTCTGGGCTATTATGTCGGGGTGGTAACTGCTTGTTGCTTTTTCCCCCTCATTTTTATGTAACAAATGCATTAGTCTGGCCTGGCTGCCCTCTTAGAAGGCAGTTTCCCTTCAGAACCCGTCACCTGAGGTCAGGGACAAGCATGTGTGAGGCAGTAGGACTGTAGCTGAAAGCTACTGGCTATCACAAGCAGACCTTGCCTATAGCTAGCACGTGCACTGTAAGGAATTGCACTATTGTGCAGCACGAAGAAGTGGGAGGGGATATATTCATTGCATGGGCTCTGTATTCCGCATACAGGGACTCTGGCCCGCAAGGCGCTGACTCAGCAGCCCCTATTGGTGTCTGCAGGATCAGGCCCAATGTATCCCTTTTGGGGGAAGGGTGAGAGAGCTTCCTGGTGAAGACTAAGCCAGTGACAGTAACAGCAGTTTAATGGTGTCTTCTGTGACCATCCCCCATTTTCCCTTTTTGCCTGAGCTCCCGTCCTCAGGCCCTTTCTTGGAGGGCTCTGAGGGACTCTCGTTACAGCTGAGCAGTACCATTTCCAGCTCCTTCAGGGACCACTTGTGTGATGTGAGCTGCTTCCTTCTCTCTCTGGCTGTGCCTGGTGCCTCCACAACACTCTGAGCCCTGATCCAGCTGTTACAGATTCAAAGTGCCTTTTGGAAGGGGGATAGTCCCAGTTTTGTGCACATCCTGTGCAGTGAGCTGCACATTGACTCCAAGGCAGAGCCTTGTTCTCATGCAACGCGTGGCGAGTGTATTTCCCAGACTCTTCCTACCTGCTGCTCTCATCTCTGTAACAAAGCACCAAAGAGCTGTCGACTCTTCTGTCAGTGGAAACGATACGTGTAACCATCTCCCTGGAAAGTTCCAGTGACATGACGAGCTGCTGTTCAGCTGGGGGCCTGTGTGTGCATGGTTATCACTAACTCGCCTTGCGCACACACATTTCTCAAAATCTGGCTCTTAACCTGTAGTAGACTCCTGGGCCCAGATCCTCAAAGGCACCTAACTCCCATTGATTCCACTGGGAGCTAGGTGCCTAAATACCTTTGCAGAGCTTAACCCTGGTCACCTAGGCCCCAGCTGGAACCCATCAGGTGAATCTGTTGCTAGCATCTGCCTGTTTGCCAGGTACCCAATGCCCACAGCTAACTCCTCTTGCCCTTTGGATTGAAGCATAGATCTGTATCTTTAGCATGAAAGCAGCTACTGTTGAGTGTTAGCTGAGCTGTCAGCTATGATGCACTGCAGGAGCTGGGGTGGTGGCTTGAAGGCCAGAGGAGTTCCCTGTTGATTGGGAAAGAGGAAAAGGAAACTTCCAAAATAAAATGGTTGGAATCATTAAGATGCCCAGAATTGAAGACGGGGATGATTGCCGTGCTGGGGCAGGGGCTGGTTTGGCAACCCTGCAGACTGATCCCTCTGTTTAGCCACAGAACAGTTGCAGGCCTGGCAGTCCCAGCTTCCCCCACATGTGCCAGTGGTCCACCTTGAGGGACCCCATCTCTGTTCAGTCTCCATGGTCCAGTCAGGGCCACCCAGGGGGGGCAAGTGGGGCAATTTGCCCCGGGCCCCACAGGGGCCCCCAGGAGAATATAGTAGGCTACAGTATTGCAACTTTTTTTTAATGTAAAGGGCCCCCGAAATTGCTTTGCCCCAGTACCCCTGAATCCTCTGGGCGGCCCTGGGTCCAGTCTGTTTTTGGGGTCTGCGCAGGCAGCCCAGCTGTCAGCCTGGTGGTGGTGATCTGCCCTCTTGAAAATTGTCCTTGCCAAGCCCTGGGTTTCTCCATAAATGACTAAACCCTTTACAAGTGACTGACGGGGTGGGAGGAAGGCAGCTCCCTGCTTTGCGCCAGCCAGTGCAGGAGCCCAAGCAGTCGGCTTGGCAGGGGAGAGCTTTTTGCTCTGCCATTCCCGGTACCAAACCTCAGCAGGGGTCTGCATGTACTGGGCAAGGGGTTCAGCTGTCTCCAGAGTAGGGTGTCTGAACAGGGGCTAATGCTTCCTCCCTAGCCTAGAAATGCAATAAAAGTGCACTCTGAGAGGCAGGGCTGGAGCTTTGGGCTTTCCCCCTACACCTTTCCGCTGGCCATGCTTTCCTCTCCAGTGCACCTACCCTTCAACATGCAGAAGCCACCACGTGCATCTGCTGCCTCCTGAGACAGGGGTCTGACTACATTCCACACCCCTGCCAGCTCCAACTCAGTCTGCCCTGGAGTGTTGTGCTTCCCAGCATGCTGTTGGGCAGATCCTGTGCTGGGCAGCCCAAACTCCCTACCTCAGGGAAGCTGTGCCTCATCTCATGAATTGAGTTGTCCATTTCCCACTGTGCCAGTCCCAGGCTTGCAGTGCCAGGCTGGGGCAGGGCAGGGGGCAGCCATTCCTGCTACAGGCCTCTGATTGCCACTTGACGTGGAGTCCCCATGGGAGCAGTGCAGCTGCATGGGGCTGTTGCCCTGCTTGTCAGCTGACGCCTGCAGCAGTGCGCGTTTTTGAGAGCATAGTGACTGTTTAGCCTGTATAAATGTTGGGTTTGTATCTGGATTTGTACCAACTTAGGTTTGACAAGGTTCAATTCCTGTCACTCCCAGTGCGCCAAACAGCAACGCCTACCCTGGCGCTGGCTGTAGTATTAAAACCTGCATTTTCCCAGCCCTTGTGTCTGTCTCATTCCTATCCTCTTGCTGGCAGGGAGACTGGTTGGACCAAACAGGCCAATGCCCAGCCCCTAGTCTGACCTCATTTTAATGTGAGTCTCTCTGGATTGGAGCGAAGGGCCCTTCCTTAGTGGAGCGTAGCATCCTATTGGAACCTTTGAATACACTGTTTATTGAGAGTCTCATTGGTTTATTTCAGCTGGCAGCAGCCTGAGGGAATGAGAAACCTGCCCTGGGTTCCTGGTCCAGTTGTCTCATGCAGTTCATTTCCCACAGTATTTCAGCAGTGCTTGCCAGCCCCACGGGAGCACAGTTCCCCACACCGCTGACAGCCCCAACCCCCTGGAAAGAGGCACCTGGGGCTTTGTTCAGCCTTTCCCCAGGGGTGCAGAGAGAACCCTTGCTCTAGACAGCTTGGCAGAGCCCTGTCTGGGTGCATTTACTGTGACTACCCATGGAACTGCTCCCAAATGCTCTATCTGCCTGCTCATGCTCTTACTGGGGTCCCCTGCAGTACGCACAGTGAACTCTGTGTGCCTCTTCCTACTTGTCGGCTGAATCTGAAGGGGGAGTAAACCAGCAAGAAAAACAAGCCACCCATATGTTTGTTAGGCACCCTGCCCCATGGGTAAAAGACTGTGTCACCTCCCAAACCTTTCCGGGGAGAAGGCTCCACTTGCTGTTGGCACCATAGGTGCAGGATGCGTAAGGAAGGTGCAGTAAGTCCTGCTGAGGAAAGGGGCTGAGCTTAAGCTGCTGTCTGTAAAGGCTGTGATCAGGTTGCCCATCCCCCTGGGATGAGCTGTGGGATTCATTTACACTGCAGTTAAAAGCTGTAGTGTGGCTGGGACCTGGCTGGGGCAGAGCCCTGGGGTGGCCGAGGCGTCAACCCACTACACGGCAGCCTTTCCCCGGGCTGTAACGGGGGCTCCTGCCTGGGGCTTGGCCCAGGCCAGCAGGAAATGTGGTGAATGCTCAGGCTAGGCCTGTTCCAGTGGAGTGGGTGCACCTTTTGCAGCATCTTAAATGAACAGGATGGATGGCTGCTGCCAAGGCCTAGGCCAGGCGGGCTGCACATGCGTCAGGATCAGCGAGGGTAAGGGGGCTAGTTCTCACACATGGGGGGGAGGGGGTAGAGCGTGGTGGCCTAAATGGTCTACTTTGGGAGCCTTCAGCTAGTCCCTTAACTCCTGATTGGGACACTTCCTGGAGTGGCTGGGTATGCGGCAGTGCTGGGGCCCCTGCGCTGATGAAAGGCTGCAGGAACTGGGGGCTTAACAGCCCTGCATGTCAGCCCCTCCCTCAGATGCCTAATGCCAGGTCCCATGGGGGTGTAGTGGCCTCAGCCTCTGGCCCCTGCTGCAGGGAGACATTCCTCAGGTCTGGAGGAACAGGCCTGTGGCTGGACTCTGAACACTGCAGTGTGTGTGTTAACAGCTCCTGACAGCCCTTGGGCTGGAGCCAGGGCCAGGTTCCTTGCTGACTTGTGCAGCTGTTTCCATTGCTGTGAGTGATTTCTGGGCATATGAAGCTGGACCTCAGCTGTATCTCATCCCTAGCAGTTGAGAGCAGCTGCCAAGTTCTACACTGGGCTCCAAGCCCCTGTTACACTTTGTCCTATTGCTGTGGAAAGGAGCTGGGACCAGGGTCACAGCGCACTTCCCACTGAGGGCCTAGAAGCTGATGGGAGTTGTAGCTTTATAAACCTCCATTTGCTGAAGCTCTGCTCTTTCCCAGCCCTGTTGGGAGTGGGGGGGGGGGGGGGGGGGAGGGGAAGGTGCTGTATTAAGCTAGCCATGTGCTCACACATTGCCTGCCCAATCCCCCATAACCTCCCAGGGCCAGTCTGCCATTGCACACAGAGAGCTCCCCAATTCAGCAGGTGCAGGTAAAGAGCTCCCCAGCTGCTCAGAGACCTGCTAAAACACTAGAACACCTGCCTGGTGTTGTAAGAAAGGCTGGCCCAGGGGTTACCCAAATTGCACCTCTTCCCTGGAATGATTGGCAGGCATTGCCCTCTTCCCCCACCCCTCCCCCCCAACCTCCAGTGTTCACTCCCCCAGGGGTGGGGGCAGAGCGCTCTGGCACGGCCCAGCTCACTGCTCAGGAGAGCGGGTCTGTCTGTGTGGCGCGATCAGTGCAGCCCAGCTGGCTGTGTGCCCGGAGCTGCTGGTTCTGAGCAGACAGGGAGATGGCGTCCTGGAGGGCCTCCTGCAGCAGCTTCCGGTACCGTCGATTCAGCGCATCAGTCTGCTCCTCAGAGAGACCCCGATAGGCCCGAAACACCTGCAGAGACCAGTGAGTCCTTTTACCATGCAGTGCCTCAGCCCTGCCTCTCAACCAGAAACCAGTAAAGGTCAACAAGTGAGCTGTGCCAGGCCAGAGCCGTGGCTTATGTGGGGCTGGGGGCGGGATCTGGGGTTGCAAACCTTTTCCTGTTCCAATTCGGAGTAGCATTCAGTAGCCCAGCTTGGCCAGTGGGTGGTTGTCACAATGGCTCAGCCAGGGCAGGGGACTAACCCAACTGGGCAGGGCAGAGAGTTTCTTCTGCTCCTCAGGGCAGGCTCAGTGACCGGGGGAGGCTTTGCCTGTGTCCTTCCCTGTCACTTTTGTGCTGTAGGGAGTAGCACCAAGAGGGGGAAGATGCCGCCCTTCTTCAGAAGAGCAAGTGTCACAGGAAGCACCCCCTGTTCCCCTGCCTGGCAGCACTGCCAGCCACCTTATCCTGCTCTGGCACTGCAGCTTCTCTCTTCCTGCCCATCTCGCTCTCACAGAACTGTAAGCCGGGGAATTTATTAGCAATGACAGCTCCTCGGAGCACAAACACTGGCTCCTGAGCCTCCTGTGGGGAAGGCCCGCAGGCACCTAGCTAGCTTATCAGCTTTCTCAGCGGGCTGCAAGAGGCTGTCAAGGTACATCCCAGGGCCAGGCGAGATCGCCCTGCAGAGAGGGAACGCAGTGCTGTGGGGGAAAGGGGGCCAGCAGCCCCCCATTGCTCCCATCCCCTTACCTCAACCCTGACCATGAGGGGCTATGCAGTGGAGCTCCATCACCCCTCAGCCCTTGGTGTGCTCTGCTGAGCCTGCCAACAAAGGGGCAGCTGGTGCCAACTGATTCTGTGATGGGAACGTCTGTCTACTGGGAAACAGGTCAACCAACTCATTGTCCATGGAGCCTCAAACAGCCAGGGGGGTGACTGGCTTCCACTGGGCTGTTCTGGGCCATGCCTTGATCCCTCCCCAACCCCCTTATTACCGGACGCATGGAGAACGGCAGCTTAGCCCCTGGTGACCTGTAGCACATGTTGTTTCTGAGCCTCCGCTTCCAGTCTGTGCTGCTGGTACAGTGCCTCCAGGTCCTTCTCCGCCTCGGCCCATTCCTTCCGCAGTGCTTCCAGCTGCAGGGCCAGCACTGCCTTCTCCTTGGGCCAGCACCACACGTCCCGCTGGGCAGGAGGGAGCTGGGAGCGAGAGCTTTCAGGCAGGCTGTGGGGAGTCACCCTTGTCCCAGCAGAGGGGATGGGGGCCCTGCCCAAACCATCAGGCTCAGTCAGAGCTGGCTTTGCTAGCTGGGCTTACATGGAGAGCTAAGAAGGGGCTGTCCTGCTGCCTGGCCATCCATCTTGGCATGCATAGCACCTGGGACTGGACCTCTCCTCACAGAGCAGCCATGGGGAAGGCGCCTTCCCTGCTCTGGTATCTTCCTGAGTCCCTGCCCACTCAGGAATGGAGGGCACTGCCCTGTGCCCCAAGAGTCACCGTTGCCATCCAGTTTGAACTGGGCCTGAGGGAGCGGGACGGGGAGGGTCTGGGCAGTTGTAAACCAGCTCAGTGGCTCACCCGGACTAGCATGGCCTTTCAGCTGCCTGTTGGGACAGGACGGGATGGTCCAAACCTCAAGGGCAGTTCCCCCCCGCCCGAATTCCATCCTTCCCAGAAGCACCGCAAGGTCCCCTTTGCCCAGTCTGCCCTCCCCAGTGACTCATCCCATCTGCTTGTTACCCCCATGCCTAAAGCCCCCATTTGCTCCCAGTGCCATAGGCCCAGCCGTCCCCCAGGTGCCTTCTTCCTG